TCTACACATTTTTCTATGCCGCTTGAAGTCAAATCGTTTTCTCGGTTTATTTTTCACAAGAAAATCATTCCAAAGAAGATTAAAATAGATCAAAAATGAAGATATAAAGCTGTTTGTAAGTACTGAGAACACTTTAAACTCATAACACATTCGGCTTCTAGCAAAGACGAACAGCGAGGGTGCAAGTGCAAGAGTCCTGAGCTCTTTTAACTGGGCAAACTGGAAAGCAACCTGCCTGTCTCTTTGGCCACCCGGTGCTTACAGGAAAGGAAATTTAAAAGAGAGAAAGAAAAAGGAGAATAATAGAGAAATCCCTTCCCCAGCATCCCGCAGGCGCCGGAAAGGCGTTTGCAGCCCAGCCGTGCTGGATCCCGGAGCGGGGTCTGGCCACCCTCGGTTTGCCCACCCTCCTTCGGGACACGGTGGGGGGAAGAGGGGGCAGCTTTTTGCCGGGGCAGGCGAGCACCGGGGCAGAAAAGCCCGAGGTCGTGCCCTCGGGGAGCAGGTGGGCGACCACTCCGCTTCCCTCAAGGCCCGCACTTCCCGTCCTTCCCCGTGCCCGGGCTCTCCGCTCCTGCAAGGTGACTTGGGCTGCCCGTGGCGTTCAGCGCTTCCCCGGACCGGGCCGGCAAGGGCCCCGGCGTGCCCGGGCCAAACCGGGACGGGTGGCGGGGCTCTGGCCGCCCGGCACCGCCTCCCCCGGCGTCCCCACCAGGACGTCCGCTCTGCTCCGCTCAGGACTGAGCCCGAAAACACCCCGCGGGCGAGTGAAGCAACCATACACCGAGCTGGATTTCTAAATTTTATTATAAAATAAAAGCAGAAATATTTTCCAAAGAATGTATTCACATAATATAAACAATAAACAAAACTAAGGTGAGTGACTTGCGGTTGATACTGTCGTTTAGGTCTAAACTTGAGCAGCAATTCCTGTTTTCTTTTTAAAGCCCACTCCAGCCCGCATCGCACACCGAGGGGAAAATCTACCTCTGCCTTCCTTCGGGCCGGAGCCGGGCCATCATTTCCTTTCCCACCCAGCAAATGGCGAAAGCACCACATGGACAAGGCCAAAGAAGCTGTTTCTGCATAGCATCAGCTACAAGAAGGTTACAGAGTCTGCCTAGAGCGCGTGTTGCTGCTATATCTTGACTACAACTTTTGTATTCTTAGTTGGAATTGTACATCGTACACCTGCCACGGATACATAACTACAATAGAATAACGGGAGTGATGTGTAACTTTCAAACAGGCATGGCAAGAGCAGCCTTGCGTTCCCCTTTCTTCCCCACCCCCCCAAAAATAAAAATATTACGATGTGCCTCTTCCCACACAGACCGGCCCGATCGAGTGACAACACTGAGAGATTTGTGAAGTTAAGGCTGGAATGAGCTGCTACACCTATCAGCCTTACAGCCTGCCGTGAAAATCACGGCTCCTGATCAACAGTCCTTACACGCCTGAAAACGCCTGTAAGCAACCCTTAAGGCTTTTCACAATATCAGCTACCCACAGCGGAGTCCACGACCTTCCAAACCTGCAGCCAGCCTGCTGCCAAAGGGCACAACACTTCCACTAAGGTGTTTGTCATTGCTTTCAAAGTCCCTCGTAAGATTAAGGAAAAAAAAAAATAATAGGAAAAATTGAGGAAAGGAGGGCTGGTGCGAAGGAGTGAGCGTGTACACGGTTTTAAGAGCCCAGATCGACCAAGTTAGATGACATGGGGTTGAGAATGGAGTCCTGCAAGCTGTGGTGGTGCATGGGGTCGGCGCTGGGCACGGGGATGGCGCTGGGGCCCTGGGGGTGGCCCAGGCCGTGCAGGGGCTGCAGCCCGGGGTTGGAGCTAAGCAGCAGCGCGGGGCTGGAGGAGGTGTGATCCGGGGTCCCTGACGGCGTCTTCTCGTCCTCTGAGCTCCCCAAAACTGTCTTATTCCCGTTCATTGACGCCGAGAGCGGGTTGTGGCTGTTGGAGTTGGAATTCTCGTTGTTTTCCCTATAGGAAACACAAAAGAGGGAGGGAAATCACCATGTGGCCGTCGCTCCGGGGTGCGCACCGCGGGAGCGGGGGAGGTGGGAGCTGGCTCCAGGGAGCAGCGAGCGGAGGGGAGTGCAAAAACTGTAGGTTTAAAAACTCTGCCAACCTCCAAGGCCTCTTCATCTGGCGCTTAGGTCTAAGGTCCGCTGAGCTTGTAAACAGTCTCCCACCAGCCCAGCGGAAAGTGTCACTTTGCCAAACCGTAATTTTCTGCATCCAAAGAGTTTGCACAGCGTGAGGAAGGGGGCGGAAGGGAAGGGAGGAAGACTTTATATTAAAAAAAAAACAAAACAAAACAAAAAAAAACAAAACAAAAAAAGCAAAACTTTTTAACTTTAAAACTGCTCTAGGAGCTGAAGAGATGTTCAGCCATGATTTCTCCTGAGAAGGCCGAAGCCCGGAGAGCTGCAAGCTCTCCAAGGATGACTCCGTGCAGCAGAACAGCCTCCAGGGCTCACATCAGGAAGGAAAGTCTTTTGCTTAAGTAACTGGACATGGTTTTTTCCCCCTCGCCCTGAGCTTCAAGCTCAAAACATAGCCCAATATGGACGATAAGGAAAGCGAACAGAGTTAACCCGCTGCTTTCCCCGGCCCTCTCAGGAAATGGTCCGCATGCCCGCCGCTGCTCCTCCGTGCCCTCCTGGAGCGGCGTGGGCGCAGCCAGGATGGCTCTGGCACGGCTCCGCGGCGGGGGCAGCCGGCACCACCGGTGCGCCTGCCGACAAAGGCTCGGAAAGTCAGGACATAGTTTCGAAATTCATCACCTGGTAAATACCAAGGAATCGCTGGAGGCGGGCCAAGCCCTTGCATATGTATCTATATATTTATATATCTATATATGGGGGTTTTTTTTCGGTAATGTGAGTGACAAGAAGGGGTCGGGGTTGCCGTCTAGGCAAGGCTTACGCGGCCTACATAGCTCTCGTATAAATACTTTAGACACCGTTCTGCCTGAAATACTGAAGGCAGTACAAGCCTATTTAAAAGCTTCTGCGGAAGTTTTGTAACACGCTATCTGGCAGAGGGGTCTTATCCTGCAGGATTTGGTCGAGAGAAGTTAAGCTATTGCACTGACGGGTTTTCCTCACTAAGGGCTGCATGATGTGGCTGGAGACACTTAGTGCCAAAAAAATAAAAATATACAAGAAAGCTCTGTTTGAACAGGTTTCCTTGAGCGGATGGCAATCCCATGAACGGTCTGTTTTCCAACGCCTGGAGTGTAATATTAAGTTGAGTGTATTTTTCAATGTCAAAAATATTATTTGTCTCTGGAGACCTTTAAAGTTTGATTCCTCGGGAAAAAAAAAAAAAAAAGAATAAGTGTAACCTTCATTTCCTCTGGATATTTGAAGGTGAGTCCCTGCTATCAGCAATAAAAAGGATCTCTAACATCTCGTAAAACCAACACTTGTGAGGATTTGAAGGAAAATTAAGGCGCTAGCACAGTTTCGGGAAATGAATAGAGCAAATCTGTGCCCGAATGTGCCGGGCTGCACAGCAGTGAGGCCGCGGCGCTGCCCGTTTCCAAAACACAGTTGGCAGAAACCAAAGACAGAAAGAATTCTCCTCGGAGGCACAGATCTACAGGATTCTGATCCACTCATTAACCGCGCAGATCGTACGATCATACGATTGCCTGTACGGACCGGGCAGGTCAGTGAGCTAGTGAAGGCAGTAAGAGACCCTTTTTACTTCTTCGACCGTCTTCCTAAGGCACAGGGACTGCTGATGGAAAAATCATCCCGAATAGCCAGGGATGTAGGCATTAACCTCTTCGCGGCCATTAATGGTCCCCTTCACTCCACTTAGGGTGAAAAACACAGATGCAGAATCATATTCGGCCTAAGAACACACACCTATTGACGTGCGTTCATGAGCACCTTGCTGGGCAGCGAATAAGAACTGCAAGGTCATGAGCGAGGCAGGAAATTGCTCCGCTCAGTCCTTGTCCAGGTCTCCTGCCGCACGCCAGGAGCCCAGGACAGAGGACATATTTGCTACCACCGTTCAGACCCACGCGTTGTCGGCTGCCCCTTTCTGCGCCTGGATAACCCCCAAGGACGCGCTCTGAGCTGCGCGGGGCGCGGAGCCCTTGGGCCCTCCGCCGCCGGCCTCTCCCGACGGGCCGCGGAGCCGCACGGGCACCTCCGGCCACGGCTCCTGGCCGGGCTCCACGCCGGGTTGCGGCGGAGAGGAGGCGGCAGCGCTGCTTAACCAGGAGTCGCCGCAGGCCGTGTGAAGCGTCCCTGGCAGCCGGGGCTGCCCCGGCGCTGTGCGGGGAGTGGGGTGTCGGCGGGGAACGGGTCTCGGCCGCCTCTCCCGGGGCTACTTTTGGTGCACAGACGCCTTCACCGCGCGCCTAGCTCGCTGGCCTCTGAGCGCCCCCGAGGCGGAGAGCCCTCGTCCCCTCTCAGCGGGCCTTCCGCAGCCGGGGCTGGGGCAGATAGAGAGATTCAGGGTGAGCCCCGGGGTCGGAGAGCCGCGGGCGCCGGGGGAAACCGTGGGAACCCGTGGGAAGCCGTACCTTTCCTTGGCCTCGGCGGCGCGGTCCCGCTGCCGGCGGTTCTTGAACCAGTTGCTGACCTGGGTGGTGGTGAGGCCGGTGGCCTCGGCCAGCTCCCGCTTCTCGCGGGGGGACGGGTAGGGGTTGTGGGCGTACCACTCTCGGAGGACGCTGCGGCTCTTCTCCTTGAAGCAATAGCTGGTCTCCTCGCCGTCCCAGATGGAGCGGGGCAGCGGGAACTTGCGGCGCACCCGGTACTTGCCCACCGCCCCTAGGGGTCGCCCCCGCAGCTTCTCCGCCTCGATGTAGTGCGCCTTCAGCCAGAGCTGCTGCAGCTTGGGGTGGTTGTGGGGGGAGAACTGGTGGCTCTCCAGGATCTTGTAGAGCTCGCGGAAGTTGCCCCGGTGGAAGGCCACCACCGCCTTGGCCTTCAGGACGCTCTCGTTCTTGTGGAGGTGTTCGCAGGCAGGGAGGGACCAGAGGAACCGCCCCAGCCGCTCGATGTTGCCGCCTTGCTGGAGCACCTCGCAGACGCAGGCCACTTGCTCTTGGGTGAAGCCAAAAGTCGGGAGCATCGACATGGTGAGCCCTGCCGCGCCGCGCGCCCTACGGCCGCATAGAGGGGAGCGGCGCGGGGCGGCGGGCAGCGCCCGGCATGCGGGGCCGGCCCCGGGGCGGCGGGGGCGCGGGGGGCCGCGGCCATCGGCGGCGCCCGGCCCCGGGGCGGTCGCGGGAGCCGGGGAAAAAATGCGAAGAGCGACGAAAAAAGTCTCGAGAGCCCGAGCGCGGGCGGCTTTTCCCCCCGGCCGCCGCCTCGTTTTTGTAAGTCCAAGTTGCGAGAGTAACTTCGTGCCTCTTTTGTCTCCTATCTGCAGCGCTCGCAGCGGCCGCGGCTCTCACACCCCCACCCCCCTCGGCCGCCGGTTTGGGATCTCCCTGCTTCCCCCCCACCCCCCACCGCCAGATCCCACATAATATAGTGGTAAAGCCCTGCTCGCTCGCTCCTCTCTCCTTCTCGGAGTTTTCCCCCCTTTCTTTCTCTCTCTCCCTTTTTTTTTTTTTTTTTTTTTTTTAATAATATTATTCTAAGCTGGCATGAAAAGTGATTATCCGCGCTGTGATTGGTCCGGTTATCTGACCCGGGGACTGCCAGGAGAAGACAATAGTTTTAGTCAAATTATTTGCCATGGTGACGCTGTCAATCAGGGGTAACCCGATCTGTTTTGAGGTGGCTCCCCGGCTGGGTTGACAGATTGCTCAGATCCACTCAGAGGCGGCCCCGAGAGCTGAGATATTAGCTAGCGAGGGAGAAATTTCCGTCGTGATTGACGCTGCAGGCGCCCGTCGGGGGAGAGGGGGAGCGCGGTGCCCGGGCCCCTGCTCCTCGCCGCGGGGCACTGCGGCGCGGCGGGACGGAGCCGCTGTCTCGGCCGGGCTCCGCCGTCCCGTCTGGATCCCGCAGCCCCATCCCATACCCGCTGCTCGGGACGGACAGCGGGCTCTGCCGTCCCTGGCAGCCGCGGCTGCAGTGGGAGGAAAAGCCCGTCTCCGACCCTTACAGAAAAAATTCTTTCTAAAAGCGTTCCCTTGTAGCCCCTCTCCCCAGCGCCCAGTAACCACTGTTGGAGAGTTTTATAAGGAAGGGGCCTCTCATGTACAATGGAGACCCTGTTCGTGACCTGGGATCCCATTTCACGCTTCTCGTACCTGCCCGGGAGCGAGAAGAAGGCACGATGATACGGGGCCGGAGAGGGATTGCCTCTCCATGAATCGCCGGCCGTGCCCCACAGCGCTCCAGCGTGAAGGGCGCTGGCATTTGTGATCCCCGGACGCCGGACATTTACTTATACTCGATTTCCAGAGCGTGTCGGGGTGTTTCATCCAGGAGAGGAACACGTGTAAAAGTCAGAGAGACTTCTCTTGATTAAACGGACCCTTATCACCCACGCGTGCCCTTTGCACACCGCGTTTTAAGTTTACCGACTCCGCGGGGCAGGGACCCGCATCATTTCCCGTCCTTTGTCGGTCTACACAAAGTGAAAGGCGAGGGAGAGAGGTAGTGCAAGCTGCAAGGTCGAGGGAGAGGGTGCGATGAGCGGCTGAAGGGAGCCGCGGTGCCTTCTCGGGAGCGGCGCACGGGGGGGCGGCCGAGTGGGACCGCCGGGGCGGAGGCTGGCGCCGGGGATCGCCCAGGTGAGGGCACTCGGGAGGAGCCTCCCGGCCACAAACTCAGGGTAGTTTCCATGGCCTCTTATGTTCCCCTTTTGCTGAGAAATAATAATTAATCCCACAAGCTCCTTCTACGGTATTTGCAGTCCTGACAGGAGAGGTCTCTGCAATTGTGGGTTCCTGCCACGGTACCTTTTTAGCCACCACGGCGCGTCAGGGATTTAGCGAAGCCACAAGAGACCGGACTGCGGCTCCCCGCCTCGCAGCCTGAGCCTCCGCGGCCGACGCACCGAGCCTCCGGGCCGGCCCGAGCGGGCGCAGCGGCCGTTCCCGGGGGAAGGCGAGGCTGGGGCGGCGGCGCGCAGCCCGGCGGCCCCCGGCGGCGGCGGCTCCCGGCGAGGAGCCGCGCCAGGGCTGCGGCCGGGGGAAATGCGGCGGGGGAGGGAGGCAGGAGGAGGAGGAGGAAGAGGGCGGAGTAGGGGGGCAGCGGATCAACCGTGTCCAGCTCCCAGCATGTCCGAACGCCTGTGTATATCCGCGGCGTATGCCCGTACTTTCTCGAGTGCACTCTGCTGAGGAAGCTGTCCTCCTACCTGTCCGTCCGGTCTTTTCACGAGTGCTGCCATAGGGAAACAGTGGCAAGCGGGCGGTTCCCGCCCTGGATCCTCCGGGAACGGAAAATAGAGGCTTCTTTTTCAGATGGAGGAAAGAACAGCTCAAATTCGTTTAAAACAAAATCGGGCTTGTGGGTGACAGGTCGGTAAAGTCCCCTCGCATGATGCTCCCTCCGTTCTTTTACAAAATGAGCTCTCAACCGCTTAGTGCCTAGATTCCGGCCGATCTCTGCAGGATTCAAACTGTGCTTGTTTGTAAACGAAAGCATCCCGATCCCAGCGCTTCCTAGCCAACCTAGGCGGCTGGATAGTTCATAGCCGCAGCTGCAGCCAGCAGTGGCGGGACGGTACAACCGCGCCACTTCAAAGGTTGCTCTGAGCAGAAAAGGCAACAAAACCACAAATCCCCTCTCCCGTCCCCGACCTCTGCGCGCACACACCGTGTGCCTTCCGCTCCCTCCCGCAATAGGGACCCTGGAAATAATGAAAAGTGCTAGCGAGGTCTGAGCTGTGTCTCCCGCCTCCATGCCACCACGCTCGGTCGCCCCACGTTTATTAGGGATATATCTGACTCCTCTTCCTCTCTTTCTATCTCACAACCACAGTGGTTAAATCTGAACGGGAGCAGCTGTTAGCCCTAGTTGGAAAGGAGATGTCAAAACCTGTTGCTTAGATTTAGACCTGAAAAAGTCTTCTTAGCATCCTAAAATGTGAGTACAGAGTTTACACTCCAGCTCCTCCATAGGCGCTTTCACTTTAGGCTGCCTTAGCCAGGCTGCAGCTTGCATGTAATGTAAGTTCACTTCCCGGAGAGCTGGGCAGAGGCAGGGCTACCCCCTTCCCGGGCACCCTGTATCAGCTTGCGTCCTAGAGCTATCGTAAATTAGTGACATCTGGATCCAAATTCTGCATAACTGCTTTTATCTTTAGGGAAAGAGAAAATTTTTCCTACGTGCGAGAAGCAGATACTGGCTGCACAGCCGCGGCGCTGAGCGAATCGCATTGTAGTGCCTTGCGAGCGAAATAGGCAATCGGGAGAGGAGCTTTTTTTGGCATTTGCGAAGGCTCTCGTTCCCTGACATTATATTTCAGAGCAGGAGGAGCGAATCGCCTGCTCACATTTGCCCCTGGACCGACGAGATGGTTTCGCCTGGCTACTGCCAGCTGTCTCCCGTTTAGCTGTCGTGGAAAGTTTTAGCTGAGCCGACCCAAATTTTCGTTCGGCTCCGCTGCCGCCGGGCGGCGAAGGCCGGGGTTTCACCCGGTCCGGGCCCGGCTGTCACTTTGCCTCACCCCGCTGCGCAGCAGCGTGCGGGGCCATCAGTGTCACAACAATCTTTGGGAAATAAGAGTTAAATAAAAAGGTGGTTTTTATTGTGACTCTCCTTCCATTAGCTGTGACACAGTCTGGCTGAGGAACGGGGTGTGGGCGGGCGGTTTTCTTCGAGGCGCCTTTTCTTGCGTGGAACTGTTCCGTGCCCTCAAATGAGTGCTGAAGTAGAGCTGCAGTTGTCTGGAAATCGCCTTTTCGGCTCTGCCTTCCCCGTCCCTTTGTAAACAACAGCCTGTATGGGAAGCTGCAGGCCCGCATTGCTCCTGTCAAACACAGGAGCCGATTCGCCCAAGCTGCCCGACACCTTTCCCCAGCCTCTTCGACGGCTGCTTTTGCGGAGCCCCTCATCCTTTTCACCGTGTTGGGTTCGGGACAAACCTGTCACCCACTCTCACAGAGCTGCGGACACATCCGCTCCTGCCAGCCAGCCGTGGGCTCGCCAGGGAGACAGGGCCACCTCCAAGGGCGCTTTTATCGGCAGGGGTAGCGAACAAATGATAAACACTACAACTTCCACGTGCCAGAAAGAAACACATTTCCCCGCAGATGTCCACTACCGTGGCGAAGACTGTAGGGAGAGCAACCAAAATGACAGGCAACTCCAAGTTTTTGTTTGTTTCTTTCTTTCCTTCATTTTAAAATATTTTTTAAAAATTAAAAAAAAAATTCTTTCCTTTTGGTGGGACTGCAATATGCTTTCCCCTTAAGACCTGTGGGGTTTACTGAGACCGAAAGCTTGCCAGAATGAAGCTGCTACTCCGGCTAGGTTTTTCTTTTATTTATTTATTTTTTTAAAAAAGGCATCATAGCTACCTTTGCAGCGATACTGGGCCTACCTGCCCCATACCGTCCAACTCTGGGGCTCACTCAGTTTCCCCGGGCTCACAAGTTTTTATTTTTTCCGTGGCGGGACTACGGCTTCTTTAGGCGGCAAAAGCTCACCCGGGATTCCCAGAGGCAAATTTGCAACCCGGATCCGCGGGTTTTTCCCTCCGCCCTCACGTTATTTATTCACGCTTTTATTTATTTTTCAGTTTTGTTTAAAACCCGAATCTATCCCATCAAAGATGGCACTAAGTTCCTGTTTCGACTGAAAAAAGAAAGCACGGCAGACGATCACTGCACACAACTAAATTAAGACAAACAACAGTTGCTTGTTGTTCCCTGGTTTGGGGAGAAAGGAATAATTCAAAGCTTTTGCTGCGCGCAATGCACCGTTCCTCAAGGGGACGGGTCAAGGATTTCAGATATGTAGCGGGTAACTCGATTATGCTAACAAACTCCGCTTGAAAGAGAACGCTGGTGGGTGCGGGGCGCGGAGCGGGTGCTGGGGACTGGGGCACTCTGCTGGGAGCCCAGGGGAGCGGAGCCTCTGCCCCACGGAGCCGCCCCGCTCCCCGCTCCCGCAGCTCCGCCGCTCGTCTCCAGCGCGGAGCCTTTTCCCCGCCGGCTAGACCTGAGATGCTCGAGTAACACCTTCGAAAGAGATGTATTAATCAGGAGATGGGGGCCTGAAGGGACGTGACTGAGTCGCCCTCGGTGAACCTTCCCGCCCCCCGGCCGCCCCCCGTGAAATGGGACTCCGGGGGCGGCACTGTGTCCCCAGCTCAAGGCGCTGTAACCTCCGGAGCCTCCCACGAAACAAGATGGCCCCCCCAGACGATTAATGCGGCCGGTCCTGATTACTTTTATATTATTCTTTCTCAATCTAGGGCGAGGGGTTGAGAGTTTTTACCCAGTTCTGCCAACAGCACCCTCCCGGCCGTTAACCCCAGCATGGATATTTATTTGGGGTGTTCCCACAGATCCCACGGAGTCCACAATCGGCTGGGGGGAGGACCAGGGGAAACAGAAGGGGGGCCCGGGCCGGTGGCCAGTCAGCCTCCGCCCCACTCCCGGCTGCGGGGACCGCCTCAGATGCTCCGCGGCGCGAGGGAACTCTCTCGGCACACAGTGTACAGCTAACAGACAAGACAACAACAACAACAAAAGGCACATATGGTTAAAATAAAGCGAGAGAGAGAGAGGGAGAGAGAGCGAGAGCTTTCTGCCTTAGGGGATTGGCAATAACTAGCCAGAAATGCAGGGTATTGAATCTAAACTTCTGGTGGGCTTCTGCGGGATTGACAACTTAAATCACACTACAAGCATCAATTTGACAATATTTGTAAACTTCTTGTTTCCAGGGATCTTCTTGATCAGAGATAGTCCAGGTTGGTATGAGCTCCAGCCACGAAGGTCTCTTTCCCCCCCCCCCCCCCCCTTTCCCCTCTTCCGAGTTGATGAATAGCGATCATGTTTCTTTTAATGGCTGCCCCCTATTCTCACAGCCTCCCACAACTAACCCAAGAGCCTGTTTCCTCGACCTCAGTTAATTCCGCTGATTATTCCAAGATGATGAGGAAAGCACGAAGATTGTTCACTGTTCCTACCGATTCAGAGCATTTTTGTTACCATCTCCATCCCTGGCTCACAGGAATTTGACCGGGGAGTATTTTTAGGAAGAGGCAGCCCTCCCTTCGCTCCTGCCTTCCCTCCCCAGGCAGCAGACAGCTCCGGGGGCTCGGCCACAGTCCTGTCGCCCCGTGGGTGCGCGATGCCCGCCGGGGGGACCGAGCACAGCCCCCTTGGTGCAGCGGCAGCGGCGGCGGCGGCCGGGAGGTCCCGGGCCAGCGGCACCGCCGGCGTCTCTGGGGCGCTCAGGTGGCGGCGGCGCAGGTGAACCCGAGCTCCGGAGGGCCTTTTCCCAAAGGGAGCAAACCGTCCACCGTGTCCTGCGGCACCAAAGGGAATTTCGGATCCCCCGAGGAAGGAAAGAGGCTCCTTCGGCCCCACGGGCTGGAGGCGGGATCCACTCCGAGAAACCTCACTAGAGGGCTCTAATACTCAGCTCCAATGGCTGCTGAGAGGAAACAAGGCTCGTCCTTAACATCCTTTAGTCTTCCAGATAGGTTAAACCTGGAAAAGTCTTCCGCAGTCTGTCAAAGGTGATTCAGAGATGTCATTGCCATGGCAAGAAATGCCTTATCTGAGAAGCAGCCACCAACTACCCTGCTTACCTGCAAGTGAGTGGAATTCCTGTCCCCTTCCTGGTGCATAATGATACAAGAGGATTTGGGGAGCCCTTCTTTTGCTGTATCCATGCCAAGGGAACGAAGCACAGCCTCTAAAGACCCAGACACAGGTATCCTTGCCAAGATTTAGGGACAAAAGATATGTCTACATACACAGATATGTAGACTTTTTTTCCCCTTCACTGTAGAAAGAGCTTGTGTAAGATCTTCCATAGTCTGTGCTATTTAATATGTTCATAAACAATCTTTTAATTCTTGCAAGACTGAGGCAAGCTGAAATGTAATGTAGTGTTAGCAAGTAGCACACAGACATTTATGTCAAATGCTGATGAATTTAGCTGCAGTTTGCTCAGTTTTGGGATTTTTTTCCCTTTTAAATAATTGTAATGATTTGCCATTAGAAAAAAAAAAACCAAATGAAACAGTATCAATCAAAACTAAAACAATTATTTGTTGTAAGGGAAAATTAATAGAATTTCAGAATGCTTGTTATAACACCAAATAGCTTTTGTAATAAATAAGTAAATTGCCTTATTTGCAGAAATTAGAAAGTGCAATTTATTTGCTTGTCATGTTTTGTAATTTTTCTGGTAAGTTTTGTGCACAGATCAAAACTACAGGAACAGCTTTATGGAAAACTCGATAGTTCATATAACATCAGTTTAAAAGTGATCAACTTTCCTGTGGAAAATTTGCTACTTCTGAACATGTGACAATGTTCTGTATTTTCCTCTATGGTTTGTTTCAACCTCCTTTTTGCTGAGTTAGTTCTGCTCTGTCCTTTGATGTCTTCTCCGCTTTATTTCATAGGTTCTTGAATCAACTCGAATACGCTGGGGACCTTTTACTTCCCAGAGAAAAACCTGGTATCCCTTTTCATTCCTTTCTTTTTTTTTTTTTTTTCATCAGTTTTATTCTCCATATAAACAAGGACTTTATTACTAGACTAAGATTGACTTTGTTGCTTATTTAAGATATAGAAAAGGCCAACCCAGTGAACACTGAATTGGTTTCAGTCAGTTAAGTCACTTCAGCAGGCAGCACTGTGATTGTGTGCTGCTGGGGTACCATACCCCCATCAAATTTCCTCCAACAGCCAAGTCATGTGTGCACAAGGTGCATAAGGACACAGAATCTCCCCTGGAAGCAGATGCTGATGGCAGCACACACTGATGCTGCACAGTGCAAGGAGGGGACATGAGCTAAGCACACCATTTGGCTGCCATGATGCACCCAGGCACAACTTTGGTTGTACCAGATGGCACCTGATTTGACTCCCTCTGTCCTGCACTATTCTAGTCCGCTAACACTCTTCCAGAAGTTTCTGCTGTCCCTTCCATGCTCTCTGTCTGCTCCCTCCTTTGGCTTCCTGTTGTGAAAATATCACTTGAACAATTTGCAATGCATTCCCTTATATTATCTCTGATACTCAGAACTAGAAGCTCACAAGAATTTTTTTTTTTTTTTTTTTTTTTGAACCACAGAGGCACCAAAAGGCCCAAAGACCCGGTGACAAATGCCAAATGCCTCAGGAACAGAGAGGGGATCTCAGCACTATTTTAGTTAGCAATAGACATAGTTCAAGCACCTTTGCAAAATGGGACTAAACATCACACCACCTTGAGACACAGAAATTCTTTGTCCTTCTAACAGAGTTTATAGTCACTGCTGCAGTAATTTTTAGTTGGTTCATTCACACCATAGCTTGCTGAAGAAGCTGATACCAGGCATAGGGCTGAAGATTTCATTGAGTGACACTGAGCTGCAAGCACGGGATTCTTGTGCAGCTACAATTTTTCTATGTCTGCTACCTGCTCTGGATAAAAAACAATAAGGAAATTACTCTTTAAAGTGATTAAATATACACACACACACAGACACACACAGACACGAATTTATGTGTATTTATGTAGTTTGTCTGTTTTAATTAACTTTTGTTTAATTTTAATTAATGAAAAAACAGATTGCAATTTATTGAAATCCAAAACTTTTCTTAAACTGTAAGATAACCACATCAGAGTGATATAACCTGGCAAAAATTACCTTAATTTTGAACTCTTTTTCATTTCAATCATATAAGAGAGGTGGTGGAAGAAATGAACAGAACCTGAGACAAGCTGGACAAAGTCTAGGAAGAATTTTAGAGAATAAGATTATTTTTCTCTCTTTCTCTCTCTTTTTTTTTTTTTTTTTTTTTTTTTTTTTTAATCAGCATCCTGAAACAAATACAGTTGTGGGTGAGGGTGATATGTTCCTGTTTATTTTGAAATGGAAGGAGGTTAGCAGCAACATTTGGCATGCACTGAAGAAGTCTGAGTACTGGGCCTTACAGTCATCATGAAGTGAGCCTCAGCTTTCAAGAAGAGAAGAAATAAAGAAGTGTAATTGGGTGAGTTGTGTGAATTATAACGTGAAAGCTGTAATGTAACGAGCATGTTTAATGCATGTAAGGGAAGGAAATGTTCTCAGTGCCAAACTGGATTAGTGGCTGGCAGGGGTGGATGAGTGGTATGAATACATCAAGGAGAGGGATGTGCCTGAGGATGGTTTTCTTAATCCATCAAACTGTTCTTTGAGACTTTTGGATATAGAGGACAAAGGTGGGGCCATTAATTTAAAGGATTAGGGCAAAAAGATTGAACAAAGAATGCAAACTGAAGGGTCCAAGTGTGGTCCCATCAACATCCCAGAGGAGGGTGTAGGCATCACAAATGATCCAGGGATTGCTGGATGCCAGCCCAGGGTGGTTGCAGTGATCTCTGGCCTTAAATAAGATGAAGTCTTCAGCTAGGTGAGAGACTGTTGGAGGCTTGGAAGCAGTTGAAAGAGTGGAAAGAGTATTTGCCATGAGATAAGACATAGAAGGAGGTTTATGAAAGTGAAAGTTTGAAATTTTGTTGATGAACCTCTCTCAGGCATCTACCAATTATGCATCTGACACACAGAGTGGCAGACAGTCTAGAATGGCACAGATCTTGGCAGTGTTATTGGACCAGCATTGTCACAAGGAGGAATGGTTTCTGAAAAATGCATAAAACTTTTTCCTTCAGTGTCAGGCAAGCATTTTCGGAAGAGAATTCACATTATTATTAATTATTATAAAATTATGGCTCTTAAATGTCCCCATTCCCTGGGGACAAGAAGATGAACATTTATGTCTCTGGTTATGTCTCTTAGAGCTCACTAAAAGCAGCTAAGAAGTGCAAAATCTTGTTCCTGGTATATATTTCCTTTGTGCTAATCTTTCAAGATACTGAAGGTGTTGAGATATTGTTGATATTATGTAACCTTCATTAGTTAGGCACACATAAGTGTTCATTTTGGTTCTGACAAATTTTATTTGATCTCTGGAGACCCATAGTGTGATTCTTGCTCAATAATTTTGAGCATAAAGGGCACTTTTCTAAGTACTATAGAAGCTACAAAGTTTAAATGATCATGATCTGTAGAATTTGATGAAGCAGACATGTTTCCTGCCATATGTTAAACGAACAACTAGTTACTGTGTACTGTGTGGTGATACAGGTTGGTAATCTGATGCTGAATAATACGATGTCATGTGAAGACTTAAGCTATTTCCTTGTATAGTCCCCAAGAAATAATATTTTCTTTGTGCACATCTGAAAATTCACAGGCAAATATGCAACCAATCAAATCTTGTACAAATGTTAACACCCAGATGTGTGTGTTTCTGCATGGAATTAATGTACAGCTAGCAGAATTGTTGGATAGAGAAATCCTGTAAAAATACAGATTAGGCACACACAAGTTAAATATGTCTAACTAGTCCGCCAAGAATGTACAGTTTTATGAAATCTGTTTTAGGTACAGAACTCTCAATATTTCTTTTGAAAAACTTTCCATTAACATACAAAAAAGAGAGTGCAGATTTCTGTAATAATCAGCAGAACCTTCCCATTTCATGTAAACAAATCAAAAGAACCATATAACCTTACTTCCAAAGGTCAACCCTTGCCCTCCAAACTCCCATTAGAAGTTAGAACTTGAGTAATCCTATCTTTTAATGACAAACTTTACAATAAACACATTTTGTATTTAGTAATAATCATTAATAACAAGTCTGTATGTTAGGTAGAACTTTTTTGAGAGAGACTGTCCAGTATTTGCTATGCTAAAATCCAGCGGTACTTGATTTGACCATTTAGAGTGCCAGTTTAGATTAATAACAAAAATGGGAGTGAAAATAGAGAGAAAATACCCATGTCTGAGAAGACCTGTCTCTTGTTCAGGTTGATACACCTTATAGCCCCAGTAAATTAGAAGGAGCTATTTGAAATTTGGGAGCCACAGGGGATTAAAATCAGATAAACCTCAGAACTGAAACCCAGGGTAAATTGTTGCAGAAGTTCATTTCACACCTCACAAACTTCCATTTTATTCAATAACTAGTTAGCCAGGAAAATAAAGGAAAGATTTCTCTCTGTGTGCCTGTATGTGCTGTACATGTACAATGTATGCACACCTTCACACACACCTGTGTATCCAGACTTAATAATTTTATAAATATGATGGGAGCCTTCCCTTCATCCTCTTATTAAATCAGTGGGAAGTTTGCTGAAACGAAGTGTTCTGAATGTCTATTTGTTTCTATTTCTATCTATTCCTAATCTGATCTATTTCTTCCACAAATGAGGAAACATGCAGTAGAGTTGACAAGCTCATGCTATTGTGGGGTTTGAAGCCATTTGAAGCCATGCCATTTGAAGACAGCAAACAGAATATTCTCTTTTTTTGATGTATAAGTTAAATTCTTTCATTGTCACCTTGTTTGTTGAAAATTTTGGTGAAAAAGTGAGTAAGTACTGAATAGATTTTTCTGTACTATCTTCATTAACATGCCAACTTGAGCTAGAAGGCCAGTGAAGAAGAAGAAAAATCAGCAGGGAACTATATAATGCAATATACATTTGAAACGTGGACATGTAGCATGGGAGATTTTTGCACTTCCCTTAATGCTCTCTACTGCCATGAATTACATTAATCTAGTGTCAGTTTAGGAAAGATAACGAGTGAGAAAATTCTCATTAGTTAAAATTTATGGCATATACAGGGCAATTTATCTCTTCTTAAATGCAAAGTAGTAAGCATTCATGCTCACCTACATCATAAATGCAAGTTCCTTTTCTGCCTGTAGAAGTAATATACCCCCCAAAAATGGGAGAACCACCAGCAAATCCCGTGACAGCCAGTGGGAACTGGTTTTCTCCATTCCTTTGTGTATGTATTTTGAGTTCCTCATAGAAATGGACTCAGATATTAATTTCGTATTGAGAAGATTCATCCTTTTGGACATGTAAAAATGTAGTTTAATCTGAATTGATCCATTAATGTTAAAACCAAGCAAAGCTGCAGGATTTAAAATGCAGTCTAAACTCTGTTCAAGGCAGGTTTATTTCATTCTAATGATGTAACTATTCAGCATGCTGTTAGTGCTGTTTCATCTGTCTCCAATTCAGAGTCCCAACTTGATTACCTGAAGTGGTGTCATTTTTGAGAAAGGCTGAACAACCCTGCCCAAGAAATTTCCCGTTTCTGGCCTCACTCCGACGTTGCATACTTTTCATGGACAGATGGTCATTGACTGATCACAGTATTTTCTGGGTATCTTCTGATGGCTGCTCAACCCCAGAAACAAAAAGGGAAAGTTGCCAAATCCATTTGCTCTATGTGACTCCCCACTTCAGTCACACAGGAAAAGGCCTTGCCTCTAACCTGGGCAGTTGATGGCTGGGTTTTCTCTTCATGTGTATCCTCTAAAACTGAACTGTGGATTTGAGAGGAAACAAGCTTAATATGCCATGTGCTTCCTATTTGTTGGAGGCATCAATGCTGAAGCTCTGTTGGCATGCTAAAATGTGAACATTTTTACAATGTAGCAGGTTATGGAAGCTGCTCTTGATAAATTCCAGTAACGGCATTTTACACTCCATGTGTTCCTTTCTGTGAATGACAGATTGCACTATTATGTCTCTAAAGAAGCTCTTGACAAGGGTGATTCAGGCACAAAGAAAGTGGAACATGTGTCTAATTCAGTGTTTCTACATTCCCTAGCACATTTACACAGGACTGTGATCTTGTTCTTTCTGATACACTAGAGCAAGCAAAAACACTGTTTATTCTAAGTTAGACACTCCCTAATAACATCAGAGCCTCTGCTGATGTAAACCTAAAAATAAACCTATGAGTATGTTATCTCTTCTTCACTCTTGACTGAATCTGGAGCTATATGTAGAAGTTTACCAGATTTTTTTTCCTCTTAGCTGGGCAGTAGAAGGGACTGTGGCAGACAGACCAGAGGTAGATGATTTGACTTGCTGGATAGTAGGGATTAGAGATTAACCAGTCTACTTGAGTAACTACTAGAAGTCTTTGTGTTGAAAATAGAGTCACTAAGTAAAAATAATGACACACATTCTGTATTCTGAAAGTGCTTCTTGCAAGAAGATAGTTCATAATCTTACCCAGTAGGAATCTTCCAGGCATAGAAATTACTACTGGTTTTATCCATTTGGTGGAACTAATGGGAAAAAATTTCAAAGATATATTATTGTTTGTGATTGACTAAATACTTAAAACACATATCATTAACCACTAAGTGCTCTCTAAAAACAGCACACAAATACAGTTGTAAATACTAGAAACACTGTGCCTGATTTGGAAACATTCAGAATAACCCCAGCATTCCTCAAATGCATAGTTTTAACTTTGCTCAGGTCTGTTTTGTGGTTTACTCTTCAGCCTTCTAGGTGGATACATGAGTTTCCATTTCAAGTTTTAGCTTAATGACTTCACATAAGAAACAGGAGAAAAGGAAAGCTGTATGAATTAAACATTACATAGGATTTGGCAAAGCACTTACAGGAATTCCATAAGGAAGGGTAAAAAAACCCCAATCCCTACATAGCTGCACAAAGTTAGCAGTAACAACGAATAGTGCTGTTACCCTCTTAAAGTACACACTTTTCAATCAGACTTGGCTGGTGAAATGCAGAAGCTTCATGTGGATTACACTTTTTAAAATCTTTCAACATCAAAAAATAGAAGAACTGTAGTGTGTTTTTGTTTCAGAGTACTTTGCATGCAATCTCAAGATAAATTGGAGATACTGATTGTGTTTGTACCTGTGCCAGACATTGTCGTTAGATATTTCTGGTTTGTTTCATCAGCCAGATGAACTTACCCAGGGACATTGATCAAATACCTACATTTAAAAGAACACACTGTCAAATTAGTGGATAGAAAGAGCACATTATGAGAGAGAAATTATCTGGTGAAAGATTTAAAGACTGACTCACTTGTGTTTTGTTTCATTAAATGTGGGGTAGTCCCCTTTCATTTTCCATTTAGCATGAACATACTTGTACTCCATTACAGTATCAGCCTTATAAGAAATTAACTGGCTTGGGACACACATGAGCCTCCTTGGAAAAAATATGACTTCCCATATTACAGATTCTAGATTACCTTAAAATATAGTGCCTGGAGTAGCTTATCCCACAGGACTTCCTGGAGACATTCCCATGTACTGCAGTAGGTCTCATGGCTACAAAGTGCTGTGGTTTTCCTGCAGGAGCCTGTCCAGATGGCCAGGGTGGTGGCTGCTTCTCCAAAGGGAAGGGCTTGGGACAGCAAAGGGTACATCCACCACTCTCAGGGACGCAGAATATATTCTCAAGAGGAAAATACAAAAATCCTTAGGAAAACTTTTGGACATTGTCTTTCCTCTCCTCTCTCTTAGATGCTCTTGGAAGAAAATCTTGATCCTTTTAGTTAGTGTCAAGGGAGCAGCTCATTGTGATAATGGAGGGGTGAAGATGGGGCTGGAGAGTGAGCACATGTGAGTTAGGGGAGATCCAGACAAGCAGAAAAAAAGAATTAAATGGATTGAAAAAGGCTTCAGAAGTTACAGCTGAGAGTATTTTATCTTTGTTTTGGTAACACTGGGTAATGTCATTCGGGTTGGCTAAACGCCCTTGCTCTTCAAAAGAGTTGTCAAAGATTTATTTTATAAAAATGTAAGCAAAAGACACACCAAACACTTTGTGTTTCCTGTTTTTTTAGGTCTTTGTGTCAGTGGGAATTTCTTGCTGTCTTATTTATTATACACTAAGTATTTCTAGATAGAAAATACTTCTATCTTCTGATTGATACCTATATGATACCCAGCTATTTCTCTCGGTATATGTTATCTGTATAAATGTACAGAACCCAGTGGACCCTGGAGCCCACTCCCATCCTGCACAGCAAGAGCAGGTCATTGCTGTCCCAGGCGAGAATTCAGACACCTCTATTCATTTCCATCTTGGTGGCAGATGACTGAAAGGCCTTTGCCTGATGTGGCAAGGAAGCCCCAAGGTGGGAAGAGGGTTACAGCCATCTGGCTGTAACTGAGGCTGTTCCCCATGTGTGCTTGCCTGCTTTCTGCCCTCCAAATGTCATAATGTTCCTACTTTGGTGCAATATTGTGGTGCAAGGCAGCAACATGTCAAGCTTTGTTTGCTCTCTGAAGCCATGCTCACCCTCAAGCCCCACACCTCAGGTATCTTGAAGCTGAGCAAGCAGGCAAGGACAGGGTTCACAGCGGGATTTCATGCGGTAGAATCCCAGTGTTACTAGTCTTACACTTAGCCTGTTAGCCCTCACAGTCAGTTGCACTAGTGTGTGCTCCTTGCTGCGAGAGATCCTTCCTAATCCAGGTAGTACCCAGAGAGCTGCCATTCCAAAGCTAGACTTCATGGCTCAAACTCACAGTTCACAGAGAAAGTGCCCTGTATAAATTGTCAGCCTTGAAGCCAAACCCTTCCCCACTCAGCTTGCATGGTAAATCAAGCTTTGGTGCTACTTTCCATCCAGCTCCATTACACAAGTAGTCTGATTTAGTTTTATGGCAGAAAAGTGTTTCAGCTAAAATGGTATTTTTCACAGAGTGGGGGATAAACATGACTATTTTATTTGTAAAGTGAAAGGCTATGAGATTGTAACAGGCAGTGCAGGTGCATTTTCAAATCCCTGCCTGGCTGTCTCAGTACTGGGCTTGGTGCCTGAATTCTCTCATGCTCAGATCTACAGCAGCACCACAACAAATCAGAATCTTCCATGAAAGCTTTCACTCCCCATATTCAAAAAGACATTTCCATTAATGCCTGTGAAATTTTGCCCTGTGTCTTTTGGAAGTGAAAATAGCCAGCCCCCAGAACTACTGTACCATCCTTGTTCCCCAGAAATGTTAATTCATCATTAAAATTATTAAACAGTAAATGGCTGAGATGTGTTATTACAAGCTTGAAGTATTTCCTTGGATTGTTTAAAAAATCTCTGTTTTAATTTGAGTCATCTATTTTTTTTCCTTTTACAGTTTTGAGTGCTCTATCTTACCATATGTGAAACATTTCTTAAAGGTGTCAAAGTGACTTGTCATGGGTTTGGAATGAGAACTAAATTAAATGTCCATACTGTAACATACTTATATAAATAATGAGATATTCCAGTATAAACCATTCATTTGGCAGTCATTTCTACATCAGCAAGTACTAAGTGCTATAGAATTCCTGCCTAAATTTGACACATGCAGAGAAAATCAGGAAGGAAAATGTGTGTGTGTGTGTGTGTGTGTGTGTTTAGAATTTTATAGAAAAAGACAGCCCCTTGTATTCTGTTGCCATGAAAGTATTTCTAACATTTTTGGAAATAGTGCAAGGAGTTTTACAAAATACTTTGGATTCACAGCAGAATGCTGGAGCATTCATCTGTCTCCTACTGAACTCCAAAACTTTCCATAATTTAGAAACAGAAATGAATAAAAAAGACATTAGAATGACAATAAGAGTGATTTATTATGGACGACATAGTGTCACTGCTTTTAAGAAAAACTACATTAAATAGAAATTCTTCATAAAATAAAAAATGCTTCCTATTGAACATTGCTCAGAATTTGCTTATTAGTGTATTATATCACTGAATTGCCAGGTCTGGCATTTCTCATCCAAATAATGTTTCAAAGTGCCAGCAAGGCTTGTGGGCTGCAGAACAAACCATGTTAGGAATAATGCATGTACAGAAACATGACAGCAGCAAAGTTAGTTTTGCTGGGATTCTGGAAATCGCCCTGGAGGGCCCTTTTTCTTGCATCAGCTTCACTTTCATGGCATCAAGCTAACAATAATCAAAAATGTATAATAGATATTTAGTTCTAAGCTGTCTTTTGAACTGCCTGGCTGCTTTAAGCAGTGTTTTGGCTAAAAGTCTTTCTCACTCAAAGGTCCATGCTCATATACTTTGACAGTATACATGGTAAACAAACCTTGTACTCCAGGTGAATTTTATCTTCAGACAAATGGCATCACCTGTAGGTTCCAATGGTGTCCTGGTTTGAAGGCAGCAGGTCCTGCACCTGCTGAACAGCATGTCCCAGACCCCAAGTTTGACAGAGATGGGCAGTCTGGCCCAAAGGAGCAGCAGAACTTTCTCACATTTAACGACGCACTTCAGGTTCAAGTCTGAGATGTGCTGGTTGTGACATGGATTTTTCGCTGGCACCAGGTGTGCCATAGTCTTTATGTTTGTCCATGATTCATGGACAAATCTGTCTTTATATTTGCACGTGATTCATCTCCAAAAACTGTGTAATTTTGGATGATCTCTGAAATCTCTCTGGATTAAGAAATAAATTAGTTACCCATTCTACTATTTGTTTATGCCTTAGTGACTTAAAATATTCAAATAGTTTCACACTTGGAATCAAAGTTCATAACTACAGCTCTTAGCTTGTAGCTTTTCAGAGATTGCTTCATGTAAATGCAGAAGTGTTTCTAAGTAGTTTACAGATGCATTTTAGTTATCTTCAAAACATGGCTAATTACATGAATGCACAAGCTTCCAGCAAATAATTTGATCAAGTGTTAATCTTAATTGAATCACCTAAAACAAGATAATTTTTTGTCTTTATCGCAACCGACAGCTGAAGTTTATGGACAGGAAGCACAAGCCTTCCACTGCACTCTTCAAAATTGTGTCCCCTGCCTGTCATGAAGAGAAAAAAATCTATCTGTGGTGGAATTTGCAGAGCACAACAGTCCTAGCAAGTGTAGTGGTGTGCCTAGGAGAGCTACCCACAGTCTGGGTTGCATCTGTAGCATGCAAGAGCTCATGATGGCACCAGGCACCCTGGGTGACTCCAGAGGAGATAAACAGTTGGTTAAGTTAGACTCAAGAGGTGTATTGGGATTGGAACTTTTAGCTTCTTTCATGCACTTGGTGCCCCAACACACTCTTGCAATAACGTTGCAGGACTTTTTTTCTATCCATTTACTAGGAATAATTTAATGACAGTTCATTGCTTACTTGTCCATGGGTTGTACGGATTTCATTAACTAGACACTTATTTTTGTAAAGATTTTTGACCTATATAAAGCAACAGAGTTTCTGTGAGCTTTTTGCTTAAAATCCTCTCTGACAAGAATCTCACTAAATATTTGCTGATCTCAACTATGTTCCTATGGCTTGAAAACCTGTATCAATAACTCAAGGGTACAAATGTGTCAAGTGGTCGCAATTATCTTCTAAACAAACATTGGAAAAGAAAAAAGGCACAAGCTAAGCCATAGAAAAACATGGTTAATGCACTCCAATTTACCTTGTCCAATAGTGACTCCATCACATAATGATGTATTTATGATGAGTGCATAGCAGAGTCTGAAACCTTATTTTTTTAAAAACTGCTTAGCTGTCTTTTTTTTTTTTTTTTTTTTTTGGATTTTTTTTTTTTTTTTTTTTTTTTTTTCGGTTTTTTTTTTCCTTTCTCTTTCTCTCTTTCTCTTTCCCCTCCTTAATGGTCATGAGTCAAGGTGGAATTAAAAGACAACTAGAGCCATATTGCACAAATAAGTTTTAAGAGCATTTGCTACAGAGTGTGATACATCCCACATGGAAAAAATCCTCTCAACTCGTGCTGCCCACTCTGCACTAAACTGCATGAACACACCAAGTGGAATAGCTTTGGAAAGTGATTGTTGTTGGTACCAAAACACTTAGGACCTCAGCTCCATCATCACATTCTCTGAACACTGGCCAGAAGATTTCCTGCTTCAGAGACCTTTGGGGTAAAGAGATTAATGGGGAAGCTGATTATGTATTGGCTACTGATTCCAGCTCTGCAGAGAGGTAAAAGTCAAATAAAATTCATTATTTTGTAACATTGTCACAGTCTTTTAAATATATTATACTCTGAAGACTTCTGAAAGTCCCAGAGCAGTATTTTGATATGTTAATTTGAAAAAAATGCATTTTAAGAGAGTTCATGGAGACCTAATATTTTCTTGTGTTAGTGTTTCTATTTTTACATTGCCTTGCTTTCCCCCAACTTTTTATTTCTCCATTAATTTTAATTAGGTTCTCACTGGATTTCAAGTACAGTAAAAGTACAGAAATAGGAAAGGTTTCTTGCCAAGACTGACCAAGATGCCACAGACATATAGTCCCACATCCTCCCACTCTTCGTGTCTAAGGGTTTGTATTTTCAATCCAACACATGTCCCTCTCCTGCTCCTCTGCCCCAGCTTCAAACACTGGTGGAATCTGTAGTGTCTTGACAAGTTCTTGTATTAGTAAGACAGCTATTTATCAAACTGCAACACAGGCACTCAAATTTCCCCTTGTCTCTTATTAGGTTGCATTGTGCCGTTTAAGAAATATTGGTGGTGTCAGATTCTCAGTGCTGGGAGAATGGCACAAAGGGGCACTAAATCAGTGTCACTGGCACCTGGAAACAGCTGGTGGAGGAAGCAGCACCCTCCAAACCAGTGAGTATAGCCCCATGAGCCAAAGTGTGTTTCTGGGAAAATCTGGGCCTGGGAATCTCTGAGGTGGTTCTTGTAGCATTGTGTCCAGATTTGCTGGTCACAGTGCTTGGGAAGAGTGAAGGTGATAGTGCAGTATTTGTGCTCCATGGACTTGGCTTTGGACTAAGCAGGGTCATGCTCATCAACACAGGCGAGTCCTTCATGCATTTGGGGTTCTCACCATAGCCAGGCAAACTGTTGGTCATGTCCAATGGCAAATACATGGGGCATTCTGGAAAGATACAGTTTCCATCAGTGATGTGGGGTAAGAGTGGATCCTTAAAGTTATACATTTATTTTAATTACTAACAATGTGTTCTTCTGCATGAAATGTAAGGAGATGCTGTTTCCTGCAGCTTAAATCACAGCCACAATAGATTGTCATTTTAAAGGGACAAGGCAACCCTTTTCTGCCTGAAGCTGTGGTGAACTGGAACAATGCCACCTTCATGAGGCTGAACTGAACAGTCCTTGGGTTGTCCAGAGTAGCACTTTAAATTTCTTTCCAGAGCCCCAATGAGGGGATATGTAGGTGGAGGAAGTTACAGGAAGGTGGCTCTTCCTGGCTGTGTACCTGTCCCTCACCTGACTCTTGTGGGGTAGCCCCCTCCCCATCCCCTCAGCTACCCAACAGCATGCTTTCTGCAATGGAAATCCCACTCAGAGGACTTCCCTCCTCTTTGCTGACCAGGGTTGAGCTCCAGGGCATTTCCCCTTCTCCTCCCTTTCGGTAACACCTGGCCAAGAGAGGAAGAGAAAGAGAGGAGATGAAAAGAGAGAGAGGAGAGCCTTGTCTGTTACCTCATCTTTTCCCACCACCTGATCAGGGAGAAGGGAAAGCAGTTGGAGCTCTGCTCCTTGGCAGCACCCCTTCTCCAGCCAAGTCTGGGGCAGAGGCTCCAAAAGTGTGGTTGGGACTGCACACGTGACATGGGCAGTGGGACAAAACTTTTTCCTGGTAAAAATTGCTAAATGGGAATGATATCTCCTTTGGGTGAAGTTGGTTTTAATGCTAGAGAAGTACTGTATGCCTTTGTCTCAGATGCTGAGAACTTTCCTATCTCTTTGGCAGACCTTAGAGAAGAAGTTTACCGCACAGAAATGCAACCTCACAGAGTTCCCCACTACTCAAATGTCCTTGAACAGGATCCAGAGGATGTGGCTCATGAGAAAGAGAGACTGAGCTATGGTTACAAGTTCAGGTCTACTTCAAGATCACTTCTACTCAGACAAATATTTACTTCCCACAGACATAGAGCTATACATTTTGTAAGACATTGCATTACCTTCCAGTATTTGGAACCACCTGATCTGTGTTTGGTTGATCTGATAGCTGCCTGAAGTATAGGTCACAATGAGTTATCACACTTTTCTGGCAGCACTGAGTGGAAGGAAAAAGCTGTAAGAGAAATGATCTATTGTCCTCAATTGCATGAACTTGGAACGGCAGATAAGAAGCAGATCCATTATTTCCATCTGCAGGAGGCAGCCATCTTATATCTCCATGATCTTTACTGTAGATAAAGATGAAGTAAACCTCTTGCCTTACAGAAAGCCCTCTGTCCTTTTGGTTTAGACCATAAGCTCCCCTGGCAGTGTAACAGGCATAACAGCAAAAAAAGCAGACTTATATTAATACCTCCCAAAGAGAATATGCATTTAATCATATGCTTCATTTTAAGCTTGTGTTTGAACTTCTATCACTTTTTAATTTTGGATGTTAATAAAAATATTTTGTGAGAGCGAGTGAGTAATTCATAAGTGTATTTATAGCTATTATGTCCCAATTCATTCAATTTCCAATTCTTGTTGGCAAAGAGAGGTGTGGGGTTTTCTGTCCATGCTAGGTTTCCACAACAACGAAGGTCTCCTTTCAATCTCTTTCCAACAAGATTGGATTGATTAACTATGCTACTGTTTATTTTGCTGTACCTGCCAAGTATATGGCAACGCAGAAATAGGAAAAATTAGCCTAATGTGAATATGTGGACAACAGAGAATGCCAGAACAAATATCATCCCTGAACATGCAACAATTCCCATTTGATTTCATTTCAGGACACCCATGATTCAGATGCACCATCCAGACAAAGAAAACATCAGCTTCTAATTCAAGTTCTTAATTTTGTAACAAAATCAGCTGAGAACATTTACCAGAAAATTACATTTCTTCTTTTTCTTTCTTTCTTTCTTTCTTTCTTTCTTTCTTTCTTTCTTTCTTTCTTTCTTTCTTTCTTTTTCTTCTTTCCTCTCTCTCTCTCTTTCTCTCTTTCTCTCTTTCTCTTTCCTTTTCTGTTTCCCTTTCCTTTCATCTTGTGTTTTTTCCCCCTCTCTACAGAGTCAGACTTACTCAACAAAAACCCTGATGGGAAATGGAGAAATGTGTGTTCAGAAAGGTAAGGTAAGCAAGGAAAACTGGAGACACAGTACGCTTTCAGAGCCTTAGGATCTTGTTTTAGGATTAGGATCCCAAAACAATGTTCATCTTACATGAAGTAAGTAACAGTGACAGGAAACTGCAAGACAAAGAAATCTTTCTGCTCCTCCTTTTCAACTTGATGTTGCACATGGAGAAACACCGAAGACAGGTAATGATGGAGGGGAAGAAGATGGTCTTCCAAGCTGGAAAGCCAACCCTCTTCTCATGTTTCCCTTTCTTCTGTCCCTCACTGTAATAACCCATCAACAATACTCTGGATATGTGGCTGGACACTTGGGCATGAACTTGTCATGATGCCCTTCAATTTCAGTGAAACTTTTCTATGGACACACTCAAAGAATTGAGGCAAGAAATGACAGGAAACAGAAATTCTTGCAGCCATTTCCTTGCAGATGGAACAGTGATCATTTAGATAACATTTACAACAGTTTTTCTTCTGATTGTAATATCAGTAGCATTCTCAGAAAGCCGGACTGAGGTCAGAGCTGAGATTCAGGATGTGTACTGCATAGGGAACATAATTACCTATTGCTATATATCCCAACCTCACACACAAAAAATCTGAACATATTTATTTCTGACAGAATTTTACTAAGAGTTCATATCAAATACTAAGAGCAACCACTGGACCTTGAAAGGTTTGGATCAGAGCTGGGAGCAGTATTTCATTCTCAGTTCTTACAGCAAGAGTGGATCAAATCAAAAGCCTGTTTCACATTTTCTTTGAATTATGAGAGTTCAAATTCCAGATCATAGCTCTGCTGTTCAGTGGATATATATTCATTGGCATTAGTGTTTCTGAATGGATTAACTCAGCCATTGTGGAATACAGATCCTACAGTTTGCTTCAAGATAAGCATGAGCAGTGTTAGAGCAAACACTTTGGATCCCTTCCAAGAGAAAAGGCTCGCTCATGGAAACTAAATGTTCTGTAGCGAAGTCGTGAATTTGATTAGTCTGTTGAAAGCATTCCAGCAGGCGTGTGACCAAAACTTGACTATTTTTCAGTCACCTATGTTCCTTTTCCCTCCCAGGCTCCACCAAACTCCATGGGCTGACACAGCCCCACAGAAGAACAGAGAAAAATCAAAGGCAACTTTGGGTTTCTGGGGAGCATATTTTGGACTACAGCTCCAGAAACCTTTACAGTGACAATACTTGACTGTCCCTCAGGTAGAGTACTCCAGGAGTTTTGTTTACACTTTCAACAAGAAACTCTAAAAATATCACTGTTCTCCCATGAGAGGAAATTAATTCTTAACATGTAGTTTTGTGTCATCGTGCCAATCCACCAGAGTTCTGCCTCAGCAATCACTCAGGGATGTAGAAGCCGTGTCACTGTGATGTCTTTGCCACCAGGAGCAGACTCACTGGAGAAAGTGAGGCTAGCATATGCTCCAGCTTCCCACAACATCTGGTGGGAGTGGAGCTGTTCAGGCCTTTGGGCTGGTACTAACTCCTCTCCTGATTTATCCTATACCCAAAGAATGTTTCAAGTGCAGCATCATGGGCTTTTTTGTGTACCAGAGAGAAGAGATCAATAGAGGGTGCCAACTACGTCCAAAGAGCCAGCAGATGGAAAAAAACATTGGTAGTTGCAGAGATATGACCTCATTACCCAGAAAGGGAAGGCTTTCTATGTAAACCATTTACTCAAGTAAAATTATGCCACAAGAAGAAATATGCTTACTTTCACCATCTCTATTTATTAAAAGCATTGCTAACATGTTCCTTGATAACTTGATTTATGAAGTTTATGACAAATTGCTTTCTTAATTGAAATATGCCAGGTTTCTAAATACTGAAGTTAATTATCCCTCCTTTTCTAGTTGAAGGCTGACCTTTAATTATACAGTATTAATCCACATATTGTACGAATTATGTGAAATATCCATTTTGTATGTAGAGGGAGACATGTATGTATTATTGTAGTGGAGTACAGTTACATAATTATTTTTAATTTAGGCTATCAGCTTAATTAAATACTTGCAGAAACCAAGCTTTTTCAGGAAATTTGCAATTACAATCAATTTGAATGTACAGCTACATTAATATGGTGACAAGCCCAATAATAAAAATGAACTAAGTAATTATGGGCAGGTGCTGAACAGATGTGTAAATAGAAGGTCTCTGCATGGAACATTGTTATATATCATTTTGAAAAGTGAAAGAAACCTGTTATCCATAGCCATTCGTATATGCAGTTATAATCAGTCACAAAAAAGTTGGTTCTTTCAATTTAGATAAATCACTTAAAAATGTGTATGGCACTTAGGCTTTCATTTTCTGTTTCTGGAAAGAAAGTCGAGTTGATTGAAGACTGCTGCTCTACTGTACTCAAAGAGTCTGCTGCACTATTGAAATATATTCTTCTTTCAACACGTTTATGATGTGTGGGTTTTCAGTTTGGAATGGTTTAACAGTCAAAACAATTCACATTCCATATTACAAGTTGAGCTTTATTTAAAGAAGGGGGGAGGTTAAGACTAGTTTAGAGTTGTTTGCTCAAGTTATCAGGTTGCCAAAGGCCCAATTTAACCTCCAAATAGTGGGGAAACAATTACATTGCATTACTACTGTGAATTGCTTTAGATATATTTACAGTGTATTTTTTTTTCCTGCGTCTTTTAGGTTTTTTCCCCCAAGCCAGTATATTAAAATTTACATTTTCAAACCTTCTATTTTTGTGTGATATGTGAGAAGTAATTATATCTGTGATGTAAGCAAGTAAGCTAAACTGAAATGGTTTCTATAGCAATCGTGTAGAAAACCCAAGGAAAGACTGGCATCTAAGGAAAGGTGGATGTGAGCTATCCCCTTGTATGGAATGGGATGCCCTAAGCTGTCTCTGGAAGATCACAATGCTTAAAGTAGCCATATTTAAGCAAGGGGCATGTATAAACCAGACTCTTTAAGGAACTTACATGCTTTACTCCAAACTGCAGGAATGTGCCTTCCTGTCCCTGGTTTATCACTCTGAAATGGATCCCAGTGGCCAAGCCAGAGCCTTCTCAAGAAATACTGGAATAGCAGTAATGTACTTTTCCTCATTTTCAGAAATAGGCACTACAGCTGTTGGCACTGTGGGAAGCTGTGAGAGGCAGCTGGAGTTGTGCACCATTCTCTTTCTTATCCCACCATGTGGAGGGCCATCGTCTTATCCGGAAAGTGAACAATTGACATGTCTGGAGAGAGATTAATAATGGAGCAGTGCTGCTGCAATAAAAACTGTCTGGACAGGTTCCACTCATCTATTTCGTTGGTAAAAGGCCAAACTTCAAAAGTATAAATTTGTATTCCAAATGTGCTACGAAATATTTCGGGTGGGGAGGGTGAAGTGAGAACCTCACAGTGCTGCCTCCTAGAGTCCTCTGCAGCTGAATAGTCCTCATGGATGACATAAACAGCAGTGACTTTTACACTGCGCACTGGTATAGTACTCTTCCATGACCTCCCAAGGCCATTCTCAGCCTGTAGACTGTATATGAAAGCAGAAAGATGACAACATTTGGTGTAACAGCCTTTCTCTCAATTCCAAACTCCAAGATATGCCAAACATTGTGTGTAAAAAGTGAAAAATGAAGCAGTAATTATTTCCTAGGAAGAGTGAACAAATTCAAAGCTGAAGGGAGGACAAAACAGTCTCAGTTTTGAAGAGGAAGTCCTCAGGATGCTTACTGACACCATGTGCCCTCCTTGCTACAGGATCATGGCTGAAAGGATGGGCAGGCTCTTCATCATGCCTCAGCTATTGGACAGATGTCTATTTTAATGCAATATTTTGTGTTTTCAGTAAGAAAAGCTGAAACACAGAGTTTGTCTTTGTCAGAGGAACATCTGAATAGACTTTGAATAGGAGTTGTGAGAAAGAGGAGTGAAGTATTTGGCAACATATGGTATCTGGATTTTCATTCTTTATTCATGGGGTCCAGTAAGGTGGGATATGAAAGAAACCTCATGCATTCTGGCATGGAATGATTTTGCTTGTCATTTCTAAACCAAAGTGGTTTGAATTTCCTGCATTGCCACAGTTAACCACACATGCCTCCTCCTAACTCTGCTTGCATTCCCTTTCCAGCTGCTCCCATAATCTCCCTGTTCAGCCATGTCTGAGGAGGTAAAAAGGGAGATTGTAGAAGAAGTTGTGGAAGATCCGTGCTACAGGTTCAGAGAAACACAAGCCAACTCACACCCAAGGGCAGTGCAGAGATAGTCCTTGTGACCCACATGAGTTAGTGCCAGCACCAGAAGCAAGATTCCTGCT